GTTACTTATCAACAAGTCCTGTCTGGTCCACCTGACATGATGATCAGGATGAGCACAGGCTGTTGTAACACGGAGGTCAGAGTTCCTCCAGGTCACGTGTCAAATGTGGTGATATTTTCATTTATTTTTCATGGTAGTAAAAACAACAAAGACAAACAAACAAACAAACCGACGAGGTGAGCGGAGGAGGAGAACAACTTCAACTGTGTTTATTTATATTCAGGTTCAGCTGCTGCTGTACAGTCAGTAAAGGCAGCATTGGTGCCATCTAGAGGCCTTTATATTATATTCCAACATGAAAAATATAAATACTCCGTGTATATGATTTCTTCTCCGTTTAGTTGTGTTTACTTCCACCTCGTCTGCTGTTGCTACAACTTTCGGTTTGCTACGACACACGCGCCTGAGAATGAAACGGGAGAAAATTCTCAGGCTGTAGTTAAAAACACACACGCTGCCATTTTGTTACAGTCCTAAATGCCCTCAACACAGAAACAACAGCATTTAAGTCCGTGTTACTGTGGCAACACTAATTAAATGTCAACGGCAGAGCAACAGTTTGGCCGGGGCTTCTGGGAAAGTCAAGGCACTTCATCTTCTCTAATTACAGTCAACAAATTAAAATAAATGACAGTCGTAATCCTGGTGTTCTTCGGAGGACTCTTCACTAATCCACACCACAACAAAGACACGGACGTGTTTTGTAACATTATATTTGCCATAAACCTCTAAGGGGCGTGGCCGTACGTCCACTCGTCACGAACCACTTGGTACGTGATGCGTGAATCGAACGAATTTCCGGTTTTACGCTGCATGTCGGATGTCTGTGTTTAGAAATGTTCCTCTTCGGAACACTTCGGTGACGCAACACAGTCGTCGCTCGCGCGACTTGAGTCTCGATCCTTCAGGACATATGCAGTAAACATGGAGCTTAGCAGCTAATGCTAACCTTGTGATAAATGTTCTACCTACAAATGAACATGTTTGTCAAAGAACAGTGTCTTCACCACAGCTGAGAACAACGTACGGCAGAAATCAGACGAATATGATCCGAATACACAAACTTCACGTTCACCAGTGGATGTTAGTTTTTTTGTTTAAAAAACATTTAAAACATTGTGCCTTTTGTTACATTGACAAATCAGTCTTTTCCGCCTTAAACTGGTTGTTGAATTGAATTTATTATGATTCTTTTTTAATTTCTTCTCAGTTCTTCACTGTAGCAAAAATGTAGCGTAGCATGATGTCACTCCTAACAAATGACCAGTAGTTCTCCGTAGATGTACGGAGAAATCCGAAGTAATCAGTGGGTAAGAATCGTATGTGTTTCATATTTAGGCCACTTTATTTGTCAACTCACAACCCAAAGTGTAGTGTTAATTTACAGAATAATAATAATAAAGTCACACTTTCAGCTAAAGTTGAAATCAATTGATATCCATTTATGAAGTATCTTGAACGGGCTCAACTGTCAGCAGGTCGCCCCCTGCTGGTTAATCGATGATTCGTTGGGATGGAGTTTGAATTCGTGGCTGTTTTCCAGGGACTTGAGGTGAGTTGAAAAAACACTGCATTTGTAGGAATTCTACTGTAGCCTTTGTCATTATAGTGACATCACAACTAGTAAAGTGTTGACCAGAGTTGTTAAAAATCCAGAAAAATCTTGTTTTGGTTCTTTCTTAATTCTCAAATGTTTTGTTAATGTGAGTTGTTATCTGGTCTTTGTTGAAAATCCAGAAAAATCTGTGTGTTTTTTTCTGTATGTTTTGGTTCTTTATTAATTCTCAAATGTTTTGTTAATCCATTGATCGTCCATCGTAGTTGTAGCTCATCGTGTATCGTTATATATTTGCTATTAGTGACGTATTGAAGCTAACTTTAGAAAACAGGGGTCACCGTGTGGATGCTCTACGTTAAAGATTCCACATGGCTGGCACTTTCCAGGTTAGGACTCTGAATCAATCAGTAATGAAGAGGAAGTTATCAGCAGATTTGAAGGCACTGTAGCATCTCGGACCACAGTCACAGCTGCTGACGGAGCATGTGGCTCCAACACGGTAGCTAACGCTGAAGAGCGCTGCAGTTGTGGCCGTTCATTCAGCTTTAATTCTACACTTGTTTAATCCAACTGTGATGAATGGGGAAAAGCACTAAGATTTAGGAGGGATGACTGAGTGGGAATAGCCACACCTAGTGTCAGGTCATGGTCCTGTGTTCAGGTGCAAACACTTCACACCTGTATCCTGCTTTGTATGACTTTAACAGATTAAACAATGGAGAAATGAAACAGAGGTGGGCTGGACCACAATCCTTTTCACTGTGGCTGATTCAGAGGGACACCACCCAGATATTTAAATCAACTGGTCGAGTTCCTAATGGTAGCAGCACAAGAAGTGAACATATATCACGTGATAATCAAACATTTTTTGATTATCCAGGTTAATGGCAGCTACAGGTTGTGACCCACAGACAATAATTCAAAGATTTCCCTGTATGAGATTTGGCGGCATCTGGTGGTGAAATTCCAGAAACTTACCTTAACATACTGAAGTATATGATATATTAGAGGTGAATATCCATATATATACCTTAACATACTGAAGTATATGAAGATGAACAAATGGTAAACTTAAAAATACATGCACTGACTAATGTGATCCACCGTGGCAGCGTCTTGAAGACCCCCCCCCCATTGATTGATGCCTTGTTGTGTTGTAACACCATAGGTTCATACACACTCCTCCAGGTGTCAGCACTTTATACTCTGTTTGTAGTTGTATCGCAGTATTGTGACTATATTCTTCAAATCCTGCATACAAATATTTGACCAGACAGTGGCAGCAGAGTTAAAACCTCGTTCTTCTCATTCATTTATAAAATATATTCATACGTGAAGTTTCTTATGCACAAATGTAAATCAAAATCATTACCTACATTTTTTTTATTTTTATAATTAGCATTACAATTTCCATAGGGTTACATTAGCCTTGAGACAGTGTTTAAATTACACTGTATTTACTATATATATTTTTATATACATATATACTGCATACACTGTTTTTATTTCCTATAGGAATGAATTTCAGTTAAATATAGAAGAATGTGTAACGTGTTCCCTGAAATGTTAATTATGGTCTGTCTGAAATACGTATCTGCTGTTTTCATTTACAGAGCAGAAAATAAAAGTGTTCTGTGAAGAACAGAAGACTTTTGTCTCTCCACCTGGTTGTTCTCTGGGTGATTTTTAGATTCATTCACAGCAGAGCAGCTTAATCCCAGACAACTATAATTATTGGCCTCTCTGTCAACACTGCGGCTGAACATTAACTGTAGGCATCTGTGGTCTCATGACCGTGGTGGGAAGGCGTGTCCTCCGGCGTTCACTACATAAGTCTGCCACTGATAGGCGCTGATAAACATCCTGTGACTGTTACAGAGCCGACACACTCCGGGCCACGCTCCGACCTTTTCTTCTCAAAGGTGACTATTTGTTTTCACAGTTTTTTCATATATTGATTCTTTGTTTGTTTTGCTTTGTCACTTAGAATTATGTAGGAGCGGCCAATCAGATTACCGTACCGGTCCATTCTGTGCCGGAGCCGTGTACATCTTTAATTCAGCCTCAGTTTGACTGTCACTCACACCGTGAAAGGTTGTCTTTAAATGTGTTGTTTGAGATCATCACCTGTGGACGGTTGAAGTGGGACTGATCTACTCATGTGGTCCACACCAGTCCTTCACTTCTAACACAGGTCCATTTTGTTCTGATTCTTACCTAAATCTAGGGTTGAAACCTCTGGCTCCTGGGCCATTTGATGGTCATACATAGACTAACTAAAGTCAGTCTATGTGACCCTCTGTGGTTGTAGACCACGACCCACTCCCTGACATGACTCTGTCTGGTCAAACTACTTCTCTGTACCTGCTGTACACTGAGCAGCCTTGTCTGTGTCGCCCCCCTCAGGTCAACTGATGCTACTGAACTGAGTTTCTCTTTGTTTAAGGTAAACATTGTAACCAATCACGTCCAATTCTTGTCTTCACAGCCTGAATCCACTGAGGCTCAGTGTCACCATGAGTCTGGTCTCTGCTTCTATCACCTGTTATTTTACCGTGCAGCCTGATGGTCCACCGTGTGAACATAGCTAACAATAAACGTCGGATTCTTTCTCATAAACTTGATTAATCTAGAGAGATTAACAGCTCGTCTGTCGTCATCACCCGTCATCAGTCACAGCACCACCTGCTGGGCTTCACTGCTTACACTAGTTAAACAGTTAGTCCTGATGGATACAACTACACTGTCAACACTCGCTGCTGTCAACACCGTGGCTCTGGCCCCACAGTCGGACATGTCAGGTTACTTGTGGCTCTTGATTCTGGGCTTCGTCATCGCCTTCATCCTGGCCTTCTCTGTGGGGGCAAACGATGTGGCCAACTCCTTTGGAACAGCGGTGGGCTCCGGCGTGGTCAGCCTGCGTCAGGCCTGCATTCTGGCCACCATCTTTGAGACCGTGGGCTCGGTGTTGCTGGGAGCCAGAGTCAGCGAGACCATTCGACAAGGCATCATCGACGTGAAGATGTACAACGGCTCCGAACATGTCCTGATGGCCGGATCCATCAGTGCCATGTGTGGTGAGTCATTCA